GAGAAAGATCTAGGAGTTGATATCACACCAAACCTGTCTCCTGAAGCCCACATAAAGAGAATAACGTCTGCGGCATATGCGAGGCTGGCTAACATCAGAACGGCGTTCAGGAACCTGTGTAAGGAATCATTCAGAATCTTGCACACCACATATGTAAGACCAATCCTGGAGTATGCGGCCCCAGCATGGAGCCCGTACCTTGTCAAGCACAAGACGAAGCGGGAAAAAGTCCAAAGGTATGCTACTAGACTAGTCCCAGAACTAAGAGGCATGAGTTATGAGGAAAGGCTGCGGGAAATGCACCTTACGACACTGGAAGACAGAAGAGTAAGGGGGGACATGATCACAACCTACAAAATCCTCAGGGGAATCGACCGGGTAAACAAGGATGAACTATTCAACACTGGTGGGACGCGAACAAGGGGACACAGGTGGAAGCTGAGTACCCAAATGAGCCACAGAGACGTTAGAAAGAACTTTTTCAGTGTCAGAGTAGTTAGTAAATGGAATGCATTAGGAAGTGATGTGGTGGAGGCTGACTCCATACACAGTTTCAAATGTAGATATGATAGAGCCCAATAGGCTCAGGAATCTGTACACCAGTTGATTGACGGTTGAGAGGTGGGACCAAAGAGCCAGAGCTCAACCCCCGCAAGCACAATTAGGTGAGTACAATTAGGTGAGTACACACACACACACACACACACACACACACACACACACATAAACACACACACACACACACATAAACACACACACACACACACACACACACACACACACACACACACACACACACACACACACACACACACACACACACCATCGCATTTTCTCCGTGAACGCGCACAATTTCCACACCTTGATAACCCCGAACCGAAGTCCGATCTATTGATTGATAAGCAGAAATGGGAAATTGGGCAGCACTTCAGTATGTCTGTCCTGCTGATTACTCCCAGATAACTTCTTATAATCTATTTCACCACCAACTTCCCTTCTCCCCCATTCCCCTCCCCATCTCCCCATTCCCCCCCCCCCCTTCCCCCTTCTCCTCCCCTCCTCCTACCTTTGAGGCTGCGATTCATTGATTGGTGACAGCTCATCAGGGCCGCTTCTCACCAGCTTCAGGGAGTGAGAGTAAGAGAGAGAATAGAAGTGTGAGGCTGTGGGGGGAGGGGAGGGCGGGGAGCCCCCTTGCAGCATCTGGAGGGCAGGTGAAGGAGGCCACACTAGGCGCTAATTGGTTGGAGAGGAGGCAGAGCAGTCATTAGTGGGGTTATTATCTCTTAATTCCAGTCTTCCCAGCTATTTGATTCGTGGGGGGGGTTATGGGATGGAGTGTGGGGTGGGTGTGGGAGGGGGGTGGGGGGAGGCGGGTCGGAAGGGGGGGGGGGGGTTGGAACAATACACTCGCGCACACGAAGGCTTCTAGGTTTTGGGTGAGAAGAAATGAGAAATGGCGTTGGTGAAGGATGAGAGATGACCTTGGTGAGTGACGATGGCCAAGTGTGTGTTTCTTGAGCTGTCTGTTGCCTGTCTCATCACAGCACACTCCACCACGGCTGTTGCCTGTCCCATCACAGCACACTCCACCACAGCTGTTGCCTGTCCCATCACAGCACACTCCACCACGGTTGAGAATGTTACGTATCCAAGCTAGGGTCCAGGTGGAGCTCACAGGGGCGACGAGCAGGACACTTGACTTGATCTCTTTACCGGCGCGCACAGGAACACCGACCTCAGTGGTGTTGGCGAGGACGACCATGAAGTGAAATTGGATATGGAGTAAGGTGGAGTGACGCGGTTGTGCCCCGAGTGGGAGAGAGCTGTTCTCTTAATGGTGTTAATGGAGCAAGACCAAAGAGCCAGCAGAGGGAGGCTGTGAGACTATAATGGACCGGACAAGACTATATTTTGAAAGTGGGATATTTAATTTTGTAGCTTGAGGGGCGCGCGAGTGAGAGAGAGAGAGAGAGAGAGAGAGAGAGAGAGAGAGAGAGAGAGAGAGAGAGAGAGAGAGAGAGAGAGAGAGAGAGAGAGAGGGGGGGGGGCGGGAGGAAGACGAGAGGGGAATGAGGGGCTATAAAAGGTAATTGGGTGAGGGCGGGAAAGAATGCCATGCTCGCCTCTCGCTGTCGACTTCAGATTATTTTTTCTTCTGTTTTGATTGACTTCACTACACTGTGGCGGCCACTGTCGTGTACCTCAACTGGTGGTGAGGTGTGACACCTCACACGACACTTCTCTTGTCTTTAGCGTCACGTGACACCGACCTCAGTTCTCCCCCATTGTCATGGAGTAGTTGTGGGTTGTCAACAACCCAACCATCTCAACACTGACGAAATGCAATCGACATTCAGAGGTAGCGTGACGCTGCGTGACGCTGCGTGACGCAGTTATTGGGATGTATTGACCGCAAGCTGAAAATGCAGTCGACCGCTGTGCAGTCTATTCTTGGACACGTCTTCTGTTGTCAGATGATAAACATGTTTGGAATACTTACGGATATAAAGATTTGTCGAATCTACACAACTTTGGCGTCAGCTTGAGAGCAAGCTAGAATTTTACACGATAATTTACTGATAATTCTCAAGCCAAGAAGAATTCCATTGGCCTATTTAGAAAATGTTAAGCTACAATAGTATTTTATGTTAATGTTCCCTATTTTACGTAAAAATTAATTACTAATAATTGTATTAATATTCACACTTGAGCTTCATCAAATATCTTAATTCAGAGTGAAAGTGTTACTCGGGCAGTTCGTCACTCCACGGGGATGGTGACGGTAGAGCTGAGCTGCTCTACAGTCACACTCACGTGGAGGAGCGTCTGCGTTGTCTTCCCCGTTACCTTAATGTGTCGCATTTCCGAGCAATGTGTTATAACAAGGAATAACGGGTTGGTGCTCTGAGCGTCCCGGCGCCCATCACAGCCTCCGTCACTCTCTGATGTCCTGATGCAGACTCCGCTCTGATGGGGGGGGGGGGGAGCTGGGAGGGAAGAGAACTATCAGGAGAAAGTGCCTGTTGTTGTTGTTGTTGTTGTTGTTTTAGATTGAGCTACTCAGAACGAAATGGTCATGTAGCGCGGCCTGTAGTTGAGTTCGGTTATTCGCGATAACCTTGTTACCGTGATATCTGGGTCAAAGTTTTAAATGGAAGGTGGGGTTTCCTCCTTTACCCCAGTTTCTTTTTTTGCTTCTGTTTTAGCGCACTGGTTTTAGTCCTGTTTTAATAACATTATTTTGGTGGCGGATGTAGATGCAGAATGTTCACTAGTGTGCCCCATTCTTCAACTGCTATTCTAATTATTTTAGTCGCTGTGGAATTTGCATTTAATGCAGCTGCTGTCGTTGCATTAATGTTGAGTTTGATGCGCAGTGCTTCAGTAGCTTCACATTCCAGTAAGTAGTGCAATAGTGGCGCCTCTGCTTCTGTTCCACGGAAGTGACACTCTTTGACTTTTGGGTTTATTACCTCCCAGCAGCACTTGTAACCAAGTCTGAATCTGAGACATCCTGCAATGTCTCTGGATATCTTTTTGTCAGGCGTGAAAGAGCCAAGCCACTACGACTATATATAGCACTTGGTATGTGTCAGGATAAGTATTTGGGATGGGATGGTGGCGGGAGGGGGGGGGGAGATGGTGGCCAACCACTTGGACGGTCGGGGATTGAACGCCGACCTGCATGAAGCGAGGCCGTCGCTCTACCGTCCTGCCTAAGGCTGGGAGGGGGTGCGGGAAGGGCGAGGAGCTGGGAGGGGGTGGGGGGAGAAGATGAAAAAAGAAGAAGTGAGAAGAAAAGAGAGATAAGAATGGGAAGAGGGAGAGGTGAGGAGACAAAGGGGGCAAGGACAAAGAGAGAAGGGGGAACAAAAAGAGGTGGGAGGGGGATAAGGAGAGAGGTGGAACAGAAAGAGGAAGAGACACAGGCAGAGGGATGTCTCTCGTGGCACAGACTATCCACGTGATTTGATAGATGCCGAGAAACATCAAACCTCCCATTGTTATTATTATTATTATTTTTACTATTATTATCATCCCAATTGAATTAATAAAATTACCGCTGTGTATTTCAGCAAAACATATTTCCCCTTGAAGGTGAGCTTGACGCTCCCTTAACGTAGCGAAGCAAAACTCCTCCACAGAGAAAAACAGTGAAGCGGGAAGCTTACTGAGGGAGCTTGAGCTGTGGCGGCGGTGTTTACAAGTGAAGCCTCACCCGCCATGACGCTAATGGCGCCATTTTTGCGAGGAGGATCAGACACCGTTTTTATATCTATAAGACGATTACCACCCAATACAAAAACGGGGTTGAACAAAGACGAAGATAAGTGGAATCTTAATGTGTTTTCCGCAGCCTTGAGCGTCCCTACGACCTTGGTTCTTGGTGAATGAGATCAGAACGTAAGTGTGGGGGCTATACGATGTTGTGGGGAGGCGGAAGTGAACCAGGCGACCAGTGGCAAGTAGGAGATGAGAGGAGAGAAAGGGGAGATGTGTGAATGAGAAGAGAGGAGAGGAGGGGGAGGAAAGGAGATTTAAGGAGAGGAGGGAATTATCAGGGGGAAAGCGCCACGCCATTACGACTATATAGCACTAGGAAGGGGTCAGGATAAGGATCTGGGATGGGACGGGGGGAAAGGAATGGTGGCTAACCACTTGGATTGTCGAGGATTGAACGCTGACCTGCATGAACCATGCCACAGACCAAGCCACAGACCAAGCCACAGACCACGCCACAGACCACGCCACAGACCACGCCACAGACCACGCCACAGACCACGCCACAGATCATGCCACAGACCACGCCTCAGACCACGCCACAGACCAAGCCACAGACCACGCCACAGATCATGCCACAGACCACGCCACAGACCAAGCCACAGACCACGCCACAGATCATGCCACAGACCACGCCACAGACCACACCACAGACCACGCCACAGACCACACCACAGACCACGCCACAGACCACACCACAGACCACGCCACAGATCATGCCACAGACCACGCCACAGACCACGCCACAGACCACACCACAGACCACGCCACAGACCACACCACAGACCACGCCACAGATCATGCCACAGACCACGCCACAGACCACGCCACAGACCACGCCACAGACCACACCACAGACCACGCCACAGACCACACCACAGACCACGCCACAGATCATGCCACAGACCACGCCTCAGACCACGCCACAGATCATGCCACAGACCACGCCACAGACCACGCCACAGATCATGCCACAGACCACGCCACAGACCACACCACAGACCACGCCACAGATCATGCCACAGACCACGCCACAGACCACGCCACAGACCACGCCACAGACCACGCCACAGATCATGCCACAGACCACGCCACAGACCACGCCACAGATCATGCCACAGACCACGCCACAGACCACACCACAGACCACGCCACAGACCACGCCACAGACCACGCCACAGACCACGCCACAGACCACGCCACAGACCACGCCACAGACCATGCCACAGACCACGCCACAGATCATGCCACAGACCACGCCACAGACCACGCCACAGACCACGCCACAGACCACGCCACAGACCACGCCACAGACCACGCCACAGACCACGCCACAGACCAAGCCACAGACCACGCCACAGACCACGCCACAGATCATGCCACAGACCACGCCACAGACCAAGCCACAGACCACGCCACAGATCATGCCACAGACCATGCCACAGACCATGCCACAGACCAAGCCACAGACCACGCCACAGATCATGCCACAGACCAGGCCACAGACCAAGCCACAGACCACGCCACAGATCATGCCACAGACCATGCCACAGACCATGCCACAGACCAAGCCACAGACCACGCCACAGATCATGCCACAGACCATGCCACAGACCAGGCCACAGACCACGCCACAGATCATGCCACAGATCATGCCACAGACCAAGCCACAGACCACGCCACAGACTAGGCCACAGACCAAGCCACAGACATAAAGCCATACATAACTAAAGATAATTACTTTTTCATGTAAGCTTGACAAATGAGACGCTGTAATCCTCTTACGAGTGAAGTGTTTTCCATCTCTGGCTCTCCTGACGGTGACATGACGGTGACGTGACAGTGACATGACGGTGACGTGACAGTGACATGACGGTGACGGGACAGTGACATGAAGGTGACGTGACAGTGACATGACGGTGACGTGACAGTGACCTGACCGTGACGTGACAGTGACATGACGGTGACGTGACAGTAACCTGACAGTGATTGTACAGATGGTTGACGGTAATGTTACAGTGAACTAATGATAGTTGACGGTAATATTCCAGCGAATCGACAGGTAAGATGTCGATTCACCAACATCGGCCAATCAGCTGCATCTGATTGGCAGAGAGAGAGAGAGAGAGAGAGAGAGAGAGAGAGAGAGAGAGAGAGAGAGACAGAGAGAGAGACAGAGAGAGAGAGAGACAGAGAGAGAGACAGAGAGAGAGACAGAGAGAGAGAGAGAGAGAGAGAGAGAGAGAGAGAGAGAGAGAGAGAGAGAGAGAGAGAGAGAGAGAGAGAGAGAGAGACAGACAGAGAGACAGAGAGAGAGAGAGAGAGAGAGAGAGAGAGAGAGAGAGAGAGAGAGAGAGAGAGAGAGAGAGAGAGAGAGAGAGAGAGAGAGAGAGAGAGAGAGAGAGAGAGAGAGAGAGAGAGAGAGAGAGAGAGAGAGAGAGAGAGAGAGAGAGAGAGAGAGAGAGAGAGAGAGAGAGAGAGAGAGAGAGAGAGAGAGAGAGAGAGAGAGAGAGAGAGAGAGAGAGAGTCTGATGTGTGAAGTCTCAGTCCTTAATCCCCATTCACGGGAGCAAGGATTCGAACGCCGGACTCGTTAATCTTCACTCTGATCTCCCCGTGGGGTCAGGGGCTACGCCAGTTCACCTCTACAGGTCAGTGTAGAGGTCTACTCTGTCTTACTATAGAGGTCATTGTTGCTCAACGAGGTCAGCAGGGCCTAGTTGATGATCTAGTTAAGTGCCACTGACAAGAGTGACCCCTAAAGTATTTATGAGGATTTTATGAGGATGTGGACTCGTATTATGAGGATATGGACTCGTGTTATGAGGATATGGACTCGTGTTATGAGGATATGGACACGTATCATGAGGACAAGGACACGTATCATGAGGACAAGGACACGTATCATGAAGACATGGACACGTATCATGAGGACATGGACACGTATCATGAGGACAAGGACACGTATCATGAGGACAAGGACACGTATCATGAGGACATGGACACGTATCATGAGGACATGGACACGTATCATGAGGACAAGGACACGTATCATGAGGACAAGGACACGTATCATGAGGACAAGGACACGTATCATGAGGACATGGACACGTATCATGAGGACATGGACACGTATCATGAGGACATGGACACGTATCATGAGGACAAGGACACGTATCATGAGGACATGGACACGTATCATGAGGACATGGACACGTATCATGAGGACAAGGACACGTATCATGAGGACAAGGACACGTATCATGAGGACAAGGTCACGTATCATGAGGACAAGGACACGTATCATGAGGACAAGGACACGTATCATGAGGACATGGACACGTATCATGAGGACAAGGACACGTATCATGAGGACATGGACACGTATCATGAGGACAAGGACACGTATCATGAGGACAAGGACACGTATCATGAGGATATATCCTCGTATTATGAGGAGCGAGAGGGCCAAACGCCGGCGGTTCCCGCCTGAGGAAATTACAGGAAGCGATGATTTACAGCCGAATAACCTCCTTGTTCCAGGAGGAAATTACTCATCCAGAGGAAGGTACAAGTTGAGTGTTCACGTCTTCCTAAATGGTCACGCGAGGTAAGAAATGTGGAGACTTCTCCAAGACCTTGTCTGAGTCTGAACCGTGAACGGTGACTCACTTTACACGTGACTCACGTTAACTTATCTCATTTACAAGTTCAGGGCCGTATACAAACGCTTTGAAAAATGTGTCAAATTATAACCTGTTATAATTGGATATATTTGAGTAAACGAAAGTCAAATGGGGCAAATAAAATGAGTTTTGTATTTATCTGTGATTTATGACGTGAAGGGTGATGGCCCCGGGAGCCAAGTGGAGCCACTTATATAGGTCAACAAGCCATAACGAGGCTTGTAGTTAGAGGTCACACAAATGAAACTGGCTTCGACGAGCATCAGCAGTTAATCAGAAATGGTTAGGATGGGAAACGTCATAAGTGTTTCAGGTTTCATGCGAAGCTTAGTATACATATATGCCTCATGCCAAGCTTGGTATACATATGGCTTATGCAGGGCTTAGTATATATATATATATATATATATATATATATATATATATATATATATATATATAAAGTGGACAGCACACTCACAGCAGCTTGGTATACCACGCGACTCTATGCGTCCTCATAAGTAATGTAGACTACCTCCTGAGACTCTAGAGAGAGCAAGCCAGTCTCTCCTCTTTTTTAATAGTATACTTGGGTACATCTACACGTGTACAGGTGCCCTAGAGTGTGTGGGAGGGGGAGGGTTACAGTGTGTGTGTGTGTGTGAGGGGTGGGGGTATTACACTGTGTATGTCGAGAACTAACTACATCATACTTAAAAATCTCCATCTGGCTGGACTCTCCTAACACGCGCTCTCAAACTTTTTTAATTAAGTGACATTTTTTTTCTTATTGGAAAAGCGCTGAGAGACGGCGTACCAGGAGCTGAAGGAGAGGAATTACTAACAAGAATTTTCCCAGTTGACTCTTCCTCCATTAAACTTCAAAGTAGACTTGATAAAATATTGCTTTTATGAGTTTGTTTGCCAAATTTGGCGTCGAGAAAATGAAATTACTACCAGCGAGGAGACTCGAGCGACCAGTCATCCATTTTATACTTTAAAGAAGGTTTGAAACAGTTGAACTGTTACCCAGTCTTGGCCCAGAAGCTGTAGTCCGGCCAGAGAACATACATAGCTAAAAAAGGATATATTTAATATGTAAATACAATTAGCTATGGTAAATATATGATTATAAGGAACAGATAAATACAGTATAATTAGAATGTCATATTTTAAAGAAGTACAGTTTATTAAAGACTTAAACAAGCGCGTACTATGGTGTAGTACAGTTGAATATGGTTGACAGACAGTGTCCTCACGGGCCTTGGGTCTTGTGCCCTTCACATCCCGTGGTGATCAACACCCAACACCGGCTCTGCCTCATCGTCAACACGCTGTGTATGACACTCCAGTTTTGGCGGATTCACAGCCATATTGTTGTCTCTAATGACCTCGTTCGCGCCGCTGCTAAACTGGCCTTCCCTGCTGGTCCCACCGCCTGGAGCCAGGGGGTTGTATCACACGGCGCTAAATGGGGGCTCAGGATTGTCTCCGTCTTCCTGTCACCATTAAAGGAAATGGCGGTGGCCTAAGGCCTATTAACCTATGGAGGGGTTGATAAGACTATCACAACAGCTTGCTGGTCGGGCAGACGGCTGTGTCGGAACTGTGGCCCACTAACGGGTCCCCATCTTACACAATGTCCAAGTTTTCAGGCTATTCCAGCCTTCCCAATTAAGTCCTTTGAGCCATGTGATCCCCTCGATAAATTCCTCGGTAATTCTGATACCTTTAACATGGCTCTGCTCTTGTCTTTTGCTCTCGCATATTGGCGTCCAGCGGCACGAGTCATCAGGCCCTAAGTGCCCACTTACCAAGCCTGAAAATCTTCGATCATGGCGGCCTAATTTGCATTTATTAAACAATTTGAGCTCCGAAGCGCAACGAGGTTGTCTATGACACTAATAACCTTGGATTACACATTTTCCCAACTCGTAAACTGTTTAATAAATATAGATCGAGGAAAGATGCACGGGTTTCGTAAGCGGACACGTTAAATGTTTGATGGCAGTGTGGTGTGTTGACCATGAATGGTATCTTAGGTATCTGTGTCTGCGACACAGACGGTGGTACAGTGTTCCAGGCTTGGCTTTTTATTGTTATAATTGATTCTACCCCAGGACTCATATGCTGGGTTAGTAGGGAGAAACGATTGGGCCCTGAGTGTGGCGTAGGGAATTACTGTGTGTGTGTGGAGAGGGGGGAGTAATGTGGATTACCAGGATGGAGTTCCGCCTCCCTCAAGTGCCCACCACTCCACTTTCTACCCAATCCATTTGCCTCATATTATATTCCGAAAATTAATGTTTGGTATGTGGCTTATTTTCCACGAATGGGAATCAAATTAAGTTTTAAACACCACTTATGTGTTGAGGTTCAGGATGAGTGTGGGTTGACCACTTTTATAAGTCAGAGAGAGCTGTGTACCCTGGCTGTGGTTGCCTTCTATACACATACACTCTGGTTCACTTCTAAACACAGGAAAGGCTTCACACTTTGAACACCTCTATTATGCTTTTCTGAAATGTTCTATTAGAAAATAAAATAATTAATATTTTTCCCACGCTGCCGCTCTCTTTTCAAGCAATAAATTATATATAAAAAACAATAAATTATATATATATATATATATATATATATATATATATATATATATATATATATATATATATATATATATATATATATATATATACATCCTCGTGATGAATATATATAAACTGGATAAGTTTAGGTTGAAGAAAGACCTGGGTAAAATACTGATTCGGAAACAGGGTTGTTGACTCATGGGACAAATTACTGGATTATATAATAGACCTGGGCTCGTTGGATTGTTTCAAGCGCAGGTTAGACATACATATAAATGAGTTTGGGGTAGATATAAACAAACGCTGCCTCACGTGGGTCAAAAGATCTTCTGCCGCTTCCTTTAGTCACTTTAAATTAATTTTAGGCACTTTAAATTAATAGTAAAGAAACGACAAGTCTGCCAACAATATTTCCAGCCGTTATCATAACTGTTGGTCATTAACGAGTGATTGTTGCCACCATGGTGACATGGTGGTCAGTTGTCCTCACTACCATTACTCTGTGATCTGTAAACACGATCTTATCTCCCCTGGCATTAGAGCCCACGCCCATTAAGCTCCACCGGCGCACGAAAAAGCCTTTTCATCACCCGTGCTTTAATTAATATGTCACAATATATACAAAAGTCTGTTCAGCATACAGACCAACAAGTATTAATTAAACGCAATATATTTCGTAGCCTTTGCAAATACTTTTATAAGTGCAGCGCCATTTTCGCCATGAGTTAATTAGCGATTTTTAGCGAGCGTACCGTTGATAATCCGGCTAATTACAGCATACAGGAGAGTCGGAACTTATCCGAAACGACTTTTGCACGAAATTAGTGGATACTGAAGCTTCAGTTGACTTGGCTGTTTTGTTCAGATTTGTAGTGGGGGTTGTAATGTGATTTCTGTTCGTTGACTTGGTTTAATATTTTGGGTGCGTTTAACCTGAACATTCACGGAGTCTGTTGAGTCCTTGTGTAGGCGGTGACGGCAGTTACAGCAGAAATACCACCACCACTACTACCATCACCACTATTACCACTACCACAACCACCACAATCACTACCACCACTATCACAACCCCAAATGATTGACCGTTGAGAAGCGGGACCAAAGAGCCCGAAGCTCAACCCAACTCAACTCATCCACCACCATCATCATCACCACCACCACTACCACCATCACCACCACCACCACCACCACCACCATCACCACCAATAAGTATTGTTCGATGTTTTAGTAGAGCGAGAAGAGGCCCAGTGAACCGCGTATCCACTCCTTACCAAGTTGGAGACGCAATAACGCGCTTTTTTTCCCCCTCTCGTTATCAAATAACGATTTTTATTTTGCGTAAAATTTGCGTATCCCAGTATTCGAACACCTGTCCAGACCAATGATACAAGTCCACGATTCAAGTTATCTCACAAATTCTCACAAAAAAAAATAACAAAAAATGGTGATATTTTTGTCGTTAAGGAAAACTTTGACGAGCAACCAAGGAGGACATTTTTGGCGCCAAGTAGAGCATCTTTCAGGTCTTACCCACCGAGCAAGATTTTTGGGGTTAGCAATAGAGCTTCCTCGGCTAATTAGGTGATTGTGAGGAGCCGTATTGAAGACGGCGGCTTCAGTCAGACACCCGACATGCTCTCACAGCCACGACAGGTGAAGGCAGGAGTTAGCGGCAGGATTATAGAAATTAAAATAAAATGTAAAGGAAGAAAAAGAGGGTAAAGGGAGATAGAGAGGGAGGAAGGGAAGGGAAGGGAAAAAAACTAAGAATGAGAAGCTGGGTTAGTGAAGAAGGGAGGGAGGGAGGATTACTCATGTTCTCTTTGATCAACGAAAGAGGAATGGTGGTAGTGAAGAGATGATGATAGTGAGAGAGAGATAGTGATAGTGAGAACAATGGTGATAGATCATTGATAACGATTCTCTCACTACGTGGATTTATATAAGGCTCACCTTCCGTGGGCTCCCTTATCACCACACAACCACCTGTTCTCTAACCACAATGCTCTCCATCTCTAGTACCGGGAAAGAGACCTTCTTCCAACACGTGTAGATTAGTTTGTCCGTGTTACCCACTGTGCTGGTACGCTAGTTAACACGTGCAATAACGACGGGAGGTGTCACGAACTGCTTGTTGGTTAACACCTCACCTGTCAGTCATCTCACAACTTACCTGTCCTCCTCAAGGAGCAGGAGTGCTGCCATGTCTCTCATGACCCCCTCCTCCATAGCTCCACAGCCTCAGTCTTTGCACAATACTTAGGAGGATTTGACCAACCAGACAATGAAACAAGGGAGTAGTATTATTTGAACTCACAGACTCGTCAACAAGCTGCACTTGCTTGTACAGGATGGCAATTAATACAAATCTCTGCTTGTATATCCCGAGACTTCAATTAGTCTAGCTTTTATCCCAACGTCCGTGGCGACCGCTGCCGCCCCAGTACTGCTCTCAACGCATTTTGAAAACATTAAACACCTGTTGCCCTCCAGAAAAACATTGAGCTGTTAGAATAGAGGGATCTTCTTGAGGTTATCTTGAGATGATTTCGAAGCTTTTTAGTGTCCCCGCGGCCCGGTCCTCGACCAGGCCTCCACCCCCAGGAAGCAGCCCGTGACAGCTGACTAACACCCAGGTACCTATTTTACTGCTAGGTAACAGGGGCATAGGGTGAAAGAAACTCTGCCCATTGTTTCTCGTCGGCGCCTGGGATCGAACCCAGGACCACAGGATCATAAGTCCAGCGTGCTGTCCGCTCGGCCGACCGGCTCCCATTGGGATGGTGATAGGTAGCGGAGAGATGGTGATGGGGAATTGGAACAACGTCCTACGTGTCTTGATCGCGTACTCGGACCCTATTGGGTGGTCGAGGTTACGCCTTTTGTCTCAACCTGTCATCTCTTAAGTCTCTCGTAACATGTTAACAATCTACAGTTCAATTATCATTCATCTTACCAGAATTTCATTTACATGGAGAGAGTTCAACTCAAGATTCCTTGCTGACAAAACGTAATTCTCTCCTTCGCTAAAATCAAACGTTTTGTTGGGCAGGAATGTCTCTGTGAACATCTGCTTAATGCCTGAAAGTGTTTTAAGCGTCTTTAATACCTGAAAGTAAGTGTCTCTTGGTGTCACGAATTACCTTACGTCTCTTACATCTTTGTTACCCAGACATCTTCACAGCACCTAGTCATGCTCCACACGGCTGCTCCACACGGCTGCTCCACACGGCTGCTCCACCTCTCCTCTCCCACTGTGGTGCTCTCTGGTCACCTGCCTTCACCACGCCCCGGTATCTCGAGGACTTGATTTGCTTAATTAAGTTCAGCCGAGAATAGGGCGGCGTGTTCTTCCATTCTGTATTCCGCAGCAGTGTGACTAAGATAGTACAACCTTAAGTCTTTCTTGACACCTTCAATCTCCATGTGTTTCAGTACACAGAGAGAGAAGGGAAGAGAGGCAGGGAAGAGGAAAGGAGGGAGAGTGGGGGAAGGGGGAAGAGTGTGAGGGAGAGACGGAAGAAGAGATGTAAAGGGTAAGACAGGGAGAGAGAGAGAGAGGGATGGAAACCGAGAGAGATGCATATATAACAAGATGGAAACTGTCAGATAGAGGAGGAATAGAGAGCAAAAGTCGTTCCTATTTCAGTGTTCTATTTGTTTGAAAAAGCTGGGCGGGTTCCATGCCTGTGACGCACAAGTACTACCGGTCTGCCCTTCACTGGGAGACCAGTAAGCACTATTCCCTGTAACTAATTCTTCATCCAGACACTCCAAAGGTGCTGTGTGTTAGCCCCCCGGGGCACGCCACACCGCGTTGTCCCGTCGGTATACGTCCTCCACGACGCACTTGCTGTGACGTGCGCACCAGTTCTGCTGTCCTGGGGGAGAGTGTCTCTCTCAAGGTGTACTGTTCCTGCGGCCTTACTCTCGAGCTCAGTGCTCCTCCTCTGGCTCTCCTATTTTCCTCATTATCTGCCATTTACCCTCATCATATTCTTGTAGCCGCCTGTTGGAGAACTCGGGCGGCCCACTCAAGTGGGGCCGCCTGCACTATTTTCCAGCCATTTCTTGTTCATATTCTTACTTTTATGCTTGCTTCTCTGCTTGTTTGTATGTGTCCTTGTCTGCTTGTCTGCCTGCCTGTATCCTCGTCTGCCTGCCTGTAATCCTGGTGTAGTGGCCAGCTCCCGTGATCACCTGTCAATATGCCTGCCTGTTAGCAGACCTGATAAAAGTCTGAACGAATGGCACCAGAATGTGGAGGGAGGGAGGGAATCATCAGGAGAAAGCGCCAAGCCATTACGACTATATAGCACTTGGAAGGGGTCATCAGGATAAGGATTTGGGATGGGACGGGGGGGGGAAAGGAATGGTGCCCAACCAATTGGACGGTCGGGTATTGAACGCCGACCTGCATGAAGCGAAGCTGTCGCACTACCGTTCATTCCCTACGAGGTACCATCACATGTTGGCATCTCAAGGCATGACACTGTTGATATGCTTGCAAAGATTGCCTGTGGAAAACCAGTGGTAGAAATTGATATGAATGTTTCATTAGCAGTGACAAAGAGAATACTTAAACAAAAATCTAATAAAAATCTCACCGACCTAACAAATTCACAAAGACCTAAAAGTTGTAGCATTAAATATTATGATAGATACCGTGAGGAGACATTCACATATGTGACTAATAGAACAAGAACCCGGCAAAGTGATGTTATAGTGGCCAGAATACGTCTGGGATATAGACGTATCTGGCAGCTTTCTCAAAACCCAAATATTGAGTACACAATGTTTCAACTTTGTGAAAGAGAAAGCATGCACTCCCTTGAACATTATATTGTAGAATGTCCCATATTGAATGACTTTCGCCCTCCTGGGCTGAGGTATGCTGAACTCTGTAACTATTATATGAGTACTGGAACACTTGATAATATATTGGACTTGTACTCAAGATTGACCATGTAATGTATCAACTATACAATGTATGTATGTGATGTAACTATATAACCTGAGCTTGTAAAAGCACCTTAATCACCTTCAGTGGTTAAGTGCTTAATAATACACTGGTTTCTCTATCAGCTATCTTACCCTCTCAGAGTAGGAGAGCCATATATGTATGTGAATGTATGTTTGTGTATATGTATATATATGTATATGTGTGCGTATGTATATGTGTATAAAGTGTATGTGGAAGCTGATCAGAATTACATTTCACCTTTGTAAATGCACATTAATGATACTATGTAAAGAACACATCGACCACTTTATGAAGGGCAGACGTAACTCTGTGTATCTATGTATTTATGTCTGTAGGTTACCTTAGCATTTTAAAAGCACTACAATCACCTTCAGTGGTTGATTGTTCAATAAATCCCTGAACTACATGTTCAACAGATCTCTCACCCTGTCCACGGAGGACAGAAGAAAATGTATATATGCTGGTTAGCATTGTTAATGTGTGGCCACGTCTGTGGTAGCAAATAATAATAATAATAATAATAATAATAATAATAATAATAATAATAATAATAATAATAATAAAGCCCAAGTGTAATATGGAGGAAGCTCACAGGAACGGTGACAGAGAGCCCACGATATGGGAGCCTCCGGGATGATAACACCAGGCGAGGCTGCCACACACACACACCCTTATCTATGGGCGGTCACAGCCAGATAAGCCACATCATATTAGGGACTTAATTAAAGGGCAAATGTTGAGAAGGTGTATGCGTCTGGAGAGGGTTAAAAAGTGTGGCTTATATCATTTGGAGTCGCCCGCTTCATACGCCTGTTCGTTGCTTTAATAGACCTTAATCTCTCTCTCTCTCTCTCTCTCTCTCTCTCTCTCTCTCTCTCTCTCTCTCTCTCTCTCTCTCTCTCTCTCTCTCTCTCTCTCTCTCAGTAATGCCGGCATTATCTGAGGATGATATCCTTGCATGTTTGCCTCCAGTGTTGCCAAAAGGGAAGGTGACCTCACCTCGCCAGGATAAGTTACCAGAACCGGCTTTATACCCCGTCGTCGAGGACCTGTATGCTAAGCTTTTTGAGGAACACGAAATATCTTTTAATATACATTCGTGCACTCTCTTTCAGTCATATAGTGAATAGTCTAAGGTGCTTTCTTATATGGTTGGTGGAGTGGTTGTTGGAGTTGGTTGTTGGGGTGGTTGGTGGAGTGGTTGATGGAGTGGTTGTTGGGGTGGTTGTTGGGGTGGTTGGTGGAGTGGTTGATGGGGTGGTTGTTGGGGTGGTTGTTGGAGTGAACTGTTTGAAGGAATGTGCATGTCAGGGAAGAGGGAGGGGGAGGAAATCGGGTGAACGGGTGGGTTGGGGGAGTAGGGGGGAAGTCAGGTCTATTGTGGGAGGGATTTATAATTAATTGGGCCACTTTTAATGTAGGAGGCAATAAAATATCGTATAAAGATGAGTCCAAACTGTTGACCTTGTAATAACCTGTGATGAAGATGCAGCATCAGTCAAGGAGATCAGTCCTTCAGCTGAGCTGCTCAGTCAAGCCTTCCAGTGCAGGTGCGAATTTGTACCATTAACAGACCAGTTTGACTGCGACTCTCTAGTTAGGTAGAGTGATCACTTTCTTTCCTCTTCACTGCCGAATGTTCATTTCCAAGTTTCCAAGAATTGTCCTGAGGAGCGCAGTAAAGGGGTAATTGTCCTGAGGAGCGCAGTAAAGGGGTAATTGTCCTGAGGAGCACAGTAAAGGGGTAATTGTCCTGAGGAGCACAGTAAAGGGGTAATTGTCCTGAGGAGCACAGTAAAGGGGTAATTGTCCTGAGGAGCACAGTAAAGGGGTAATTGTCCTGAGGAGCACAGTAAAGGGGTAATTGTCCTGAGGAGCACAGTAAAGCTTTTGAAAGCCTCACACTTCGTGGGGAAGGGAAGGGATTTATCAGAAGAAAGCGCCAAGCTATTTCGTCTATATAGCCCCTGGCAGGGATCAGGATAAAGATTTGGGATGCTTCGTCGGGAGCAAATTGTGAGCAAAACTTCGAAGTATACCCTTGAGGCCGATTAGTTTCTCGGCATTGAGGTTTCGAAGAACATAATGCATGTTGGAGGCATTATGTTTAAGCGTGGCGGGGGCTTGGAGGGACTCGCTGGCCTGTCATGTACCTGTTTCCTGACTCTTCTTCCCTGCCCACAGGTGCGTTCTGGACGCGTCAGGCGCAAGAGGTCAACACCGCCCGTTAAGGTAAGGTCAATTCTGCTGCTAGTTAAAACTTCAGGTTAATTCAATGCGAAATGAGCCACTGCTGTAGCAGGAGACTCAGACTCGCTGGTCAGGGTCGCATCCACATATGTTTTGACCCCCAGGGTATTGAGCGCTGTCTCTCGTAGCCAAACCCAACTGCTAGTCGAATCCCTGAGTTATCAACATTTCCTCCACCAGTTATCTGCCCCTGAGAACCCATGATGTATACACTATTTCTTAACTCTTAACGCTCAAGCTGCTAACAACGCTTATATGCGTTTTCTCAACTGTTAACAAAGGTAGTTGAGCGTGAATAGCTATCACATTGACAGTTGACGGTACCTGAACCCACATGTCTTCTAGATACATGCAGGTAAGAGAGTTACATCATAAGACAATCTTAACTGTTGATACTATCTCTGATTGTGTAGGGAATATCTAATGTGGAAATAGTTGATTGTAGATAATAACCAAACTGCATTGGGCGGTACTATGAAGTAATGCAGTGGTAGAGCCAACTGTTCAAAAATACCTGGGAGTGAAAAGCCCCTAGTAGAACCCCCCATGATGTCACCTCCAAACCCCCTGATGTCACCTCCAAACCCTCTGATGTCACCCCCCAAACACGCTGGTGTCACCCCCTTGCGTGTTTGGTCGTCCAAATATAGGAAAGCAATCTCAGGAACTCTGTTGTTGTCGATCAATCCGAGATAATTGGGTCCAGGGTTGCCATAATAAAAGGTCTAACAAAAAATGGCTTAAGGGAGGCGGGTGGGCTGACAGGCGGGTCCCGGGAGCTGCAACACAATCACGGTTGTAGTTGTGTTGACGGGTGGAGTAATCGCAGGGGCTCACGGGTTGACAGCTGAGAGACAGACAGATGGACAGACGGACAAACAGAAACACACACACACACACTCACCTCTCAAGAGGTATATATGTGACTATTTACTTCTAAATCATATTTAGCCTTGAATAAGTAGGTAAGACGATGAACATATTCACCACGTGGCTGCTTCAAGTTCAAAGAAAACGTCTGGTAATCCACACACAAAAGATTTTCCAGAGTTTTATTAAAATGACAAAAAACATATATTATAGAAAAATGTTGGGTGGTGAATGTGGGTTTCACTGGGGAATATATCCAGCCCTCGGCTGTGTCAACCAAGTATGTTGCTTCAACTCCTCCAAAGGTTCCTGCGGCTGTGTTTGTACTCGAGTTTTCTTAGAATTGATGAACCAAGAGTCCGTCATTCTCGCTCCTGAGACGACAGGAGAGAAACGGCTGGATTTAGAGAAAGGCATAATCTAGGAGGCATGATCTAAGAAGCATGGTTTAGAGGGCATGATCTATAGGAGGCATGGTTTAGGGGGCATGATCTAGGAATCATGGTCTAGGGGGGGCATGATCTAGAGGGGCATGATCTAGGAGGCATGATCTAAGAGACATGATCTAGGAGGCATGATCTAGGAGGCATGATCTAAGAGACATGATCTAGGAGGCATGATCTAGGAGGCATGATCTAAGAGGCATGATCTAAGAGGCATGATCTAAGAGGCATGATCTAAGAGGCATGATCTAGGAGGCATGATCTAAGAGGCATGATCTAAGAGACATGATCTAGGAAGCATGATCTAGGAGGCATGATCTAAGAGGCATAGTCTAGAGTGCATGATCTAAGGGGGGCATGATCTAGGAGGCATGATCTAGAGTGCATGATCTAGGAGATAAACATTGAGACCATTTATAAACATCATCGTGAGAAAGTTAATTTTCCCAACAAACACCACCGCCGCCGACGGTTAATAACCGACTCATCCTTTGAATTAATTAATAATTCATTGTGTCACCCCCCCCCATCCCCCCCATCCCCCCAGAATGCAACCCTACAAGAAGCCAACTAACTCCTGGGTGCCTACTTACTGCTAGGTGAACAGACGCATTAGGTGATAGGAAACGCGCCCAACTATTTCTGTCTCTTCCGGGATTCGAATCCGGAATTCTCGATTGTACGATTGTACTACCGGCACTCCTTAGTGCACCCGAGATTGACGTGGCCGACAGCACATAATGGGATTAATGAACGTGTTAAGGTAGACAGGTTGGTGTGCTCAGGTGAGACAGCAACTCCTTCATCTTAAGACACTCGTCCGTCTTGCCAGTGGCTGAGATGACAGCAGCTGGTGCCTTTCTTGTCCAGCTGGGGCCTTCCTCGTCCAGCTGGTGCCTTTCTTGTCCAGCTGGGGCCTTCCTCGTCCAGCTGGTGCCTTCCTCGTCCAGCTGGTGCCTTTCTTGTCCAGCTGGGGCCTTTCTTGTCCAGCTGGTGCCTTCCTCGTCCAGCTGGTGCCTTCCTCGTCCAGCTGGTGCCTTCCTCGTCCAGCTGGGGCCTTCCTCGTCCAGCTGGGGCCTTCCTCGTCCAGCTGGGACCTTCCTCGTCCAGCTGGGACCTTCCTCGTCCAGCTGGTGCCTTCCTCGTCCAGCTGGGGCCTTCCTCGTCCAGCTGGTGCCTTCCTCGTCCAGCTGGGACCTTCCTCGTCCAGCTGGTGCCTTCCTCGTCCAGCTGGGACCTTCCTCGTCCAGCTGGGACCTTCCTCGTCCAGCTGGGACCTTCCTCGTCCAGCTGGTGCCTTCCTCGTCCAGCTAAAACCTTCCTCGTCCAGTTGGTGCCTTCCTCGTCCAGCTGGGACCTTCCTCGTCCAGCTGGTGCCTTCCTCGTCCAGCTGGAACCTTCCTCGTCCAGCTGGTGCCTTCCTCGTCCAGCTGGGACCTTCCACATCCAGCTGGTGCATTCCTCGTCCAGCTGGTGCCTTCCTCGTCCAGCTGGGACCTTCCTCGTCCAGCTGGTGCCTTCCTCGTCCAGCTGGAACCTTCCTCGTCCAGCTGGTGCCTTCCTCGTCCAGCTGGGACCTTCCTCATCCAGCTGGTGCATTCCTCGTCCAGCTGGTGCCTTCCTCGTCCAGCTGGTGCCTTCCTCGTCCAGCTGGGACCTTCCTCGTCCAGCTGGGACCTTCCTCGTCCAGCTGGTGCCTTCCTCGTCCAGCTGGAACCTTCCTCGTCCAGCTGGTGCCTTCCTCGTCCAGCTGGGACCTTCCTCGTCCAGCTGGAACCTTCCTCGTCCAGCTGGGACCTTCCTCGTCCAGCTGGTGCCCGACGGTGAGGCGTGGTCAGGCGACTCAGGAGGGGAGTGTTTGGGTGATGGTGAAGGAATGGTTGGTGAGTGACGAAGAAGAGGTATATATGACCGAGAAGAGGAAGAGAGAGGAAGTCTCCAAAAATGTTGGTAGACGTGTTAGTCCCGGAGGGTAGAGTGTAGGTACCGTCATGTTGGTACTCCTGTAGACAGGACGAGATGGAGTTTAATTGGGCCTTCCCTCCCTAATCTCTCCTCCTCAATCTCTCTCCTCCTCAGTCTCTCTTTCCCAATTTCTCTTCCCCAATCTCGGGTTTCGTTCCATCTTTCACCCTCTTCAAGTTTCCTGTCTGTTTAATGTCTTCCAGGAGTGTTTCTCGGGAGTTTGTTCCTGGTTTTTACTGTGAATTCATAAGATGTCTCTCTCTCTCTCTCTCTCTCTCTCTCTCTCTCTCTCTCTCTCTCTCTCTCTCTCTCTCTCTCTCTCTCTCTCTCTCTCTCTCTCTCTCTCTCTCTCTCTCCAGGTTTGTGTGCGTGTGTTGTCCGTCTTGTGTGCGTTTCTGTGTACACGTACACGTGTGCGTGAAGTGGAATGAGTGGTGATTATTAGAGGATAATTGCTTCAGTAACTCGCCGGCATCACTTTCACTCACTCAATCACTCACTCACTCACTCACTCACTCACTCACTCACTCACTCACTCACTCACTCACACACACACACACACACACACACACACACACACACACACACACACACACACACACACAGGTCAGAGGTACTCGAGGCCAGAACGGAAAACTTTCGGGATTTGCAGTCCACGGACCCGGGCTCGATTCCCGGCAGAGGCAGAATCAGTTGGGCAGAGAAATGCCTCCAGAAATAAATAATACTCCGGAAGGGGGGGGGGGAAGGAGGGGAAGGAATATTAGAATAGTTATCCTTCCCATTTCTGAATACTATTTATTATGGAGGCATTTATCTCTATTAATCTTCTTTTAGTTTTCTTTTGATAATCTTGTTCTGGTTATCTTGTTTATGTTATCTTCTTTTGGTTATCTTGTTTATGTTATCTTCTTTTGGTTATCTTGTTTATGTTATCTTCTTTTGGTTATCTTGTTTATGTTATCTTCTTTTGGTTATCTTGTTTATGTTATCTTCTTTTGGTTATCTTGTTTATGTTATCTTCTTTTGGTTATCTTGTTTATGTTATCTTCTTTTGGTTATCTTGTTTATGTTATCTTCTTTTGGTTATCTTGGTTTGGTTATCCTTCAGTAAATTTTCCCTGTCTTGTTGGTTCTCCCACCTTTCCCGTCCTATTTCTTATTTCCCTGTTTCCGTCGGCAACCTTGTCTCGTTACTCAAGCCTGACGTGCGTGAGTCCTTTGATCTTTTCCACTTTACTCCTCTCCCCCGGCTTCCTGTCCCCGCGTATATACCCTTCCCAGCGTCCCGTCCCTCGTCCGTCTACTGTTGACAAAGATCCCGAGACAACTGAAAGTGCTAAAAGCATTTATATTTCACCTTCCAGATGTGGCAATCGTTGCAATTAATAGATTGCTATCAATATATAAGCAAAGAGATCACAGCACATCTGATCTCAGGAATGCAAAGAAAGAAAGAAAGGAAGTCACATTTGCTAGGAAGGAATTAGTCTAAGAGCTTGTCCATAACTGTGGGTATACTTCTTCATAGACTGGCAGATACGGTCGGGGAGGAAATAACAGAGATGCAGAACACACATCTGTTCCCAGGCAGCCCCAGGTATACTTGGTGTATAACTGGAGTGTATGACCGGAGTGGCATACATTCACACCGGTCATACAATAAGTATATATAAATACAACAGTATTAGAGAATATCAAAAT